TCCCCTTCCACTGAATCCACCCCCACCTCCTCATAATCCTTCTCCAGGGCGGCCATGTCCTCCCGGGCCTCCGAGAACTCCCCCTCCTCCATGCCCTCCCCCACGTACCAGTGCACAAACGCCCGCTTGGCATACATCAGGTCAAACTTGTGGTCCAGGCGGGCCCAGGCCTCGGCGATGGCCGTGGTGTTGCTCAGCATACACACAGCACGCTGCACCTTGGCCAGGTCCCCCCCGGGGACCACCGTGGGAGGCTGGTAGTTGATGCCCACCTTGAAACCCGTGGGGCACCAGTCCACAAACTGGATGGTGCGCTTGGTCTTGATGGTGGCGATGGCGGCGTTGACATCCTTGGGCACCACGTCCCCGCGGTACAGCAGGCAGCACGCCATGTACTTGCCGTGCCGCGGGTCACACTTCACCATCTGGTTGGCCGGCTCAAAGCAGGCGTTGGTGATCTCGGCCACCGAGAGCTGCTCATGGTAGGCCTTCTCAGCCGAGATGACGGGGGCGTACGTGGCCAGCGGGAAGTGGATGCGGGGGTATGGCACCAGGTTGGTCTGGAACTCCGTCAGGTCAACATTCAGGGCCCCATCAAAGCGCAGGGAGGCCGTGATGGAGGACACGATCTGACCTATCAGCCTATTGAGGTTGGTGTAGGTGGGCCTCTCGATGTCCAGGTTGCGGCGGCAGATGTCGTAGATGGCCTCGTTGTCCACCATGAAGGCACAGTCAGAGTGCTCCAGGGTGGTGTGGGTGGTGAGGATGGAGTTGTAGGGCTCCACCACGGCTGTGGAGACCTGCGGGGCCGGGTAGATGGAGAACTCCAGCTTGGACTTCTTGCCATAGTCAACGGAGAGGCGCTCCATGAGCAGGGAGGTGAAGCCGGAGCCGGTGCCACCCCCAAAGCTGTGGAACACCAGGAAGCCCTGCAGCCCCGTGCACTGGTCAGCCTAGCAAGGAGAGACAAGGGGGGGGGGGGACACATGTTTAATCTACGCAGCAGTAGAAACTGCTCCTTCCTCTCTATGGCCTCACGAGGACATTTGGGGGATTTCCAGCAGCAGAGCAGGAGACATTGGGATAGGTGACAGGATGGCCCTGACTCCATCTGTCTGACACAGACTTCTGGCTGAATCCCTCAGGGAAGCCCCTTGGCCACCAGGGTGGGAGAGTGGCCAGAAGCACCTCATGGGGGGCCGGGTGCCACCTGCTTGGGAGCAGAATAGGGACAGGTTTAGGGATGGGACTTGGGCACCGCAGAGCGGGCAAAGCATGAGCCCCGGCAGAGCCACACGGCTCCAGGGTGGGCTGGCTGGAGCTGCCACCGTCTGCGCAGTCACTGGGACGCTGTCGCCAGCTGCACGCAGCTGGACGGGGCTGTGGCGAGAGCCAAGCAGGAACAAAGAGAGAATTGCACAGCTCAGCACCGCCGGTGCCTGCGGCGCTGTGGAGCGGCTCCAACACCCCGGCAGCACCGCGTCCCGCTGCTGGCCAATGGCAGCTACTGCAGAACAGGATTAACATTAATTAATATATTAAATCTAAACCCGGCCTGACTACTCCAGAGGGGAGGGCGAGACTGAGAACCGAGTCTTTGTCCTTGTCTCACCACCTCTGAGCCCCTCCCATCCCTACCAGCTTGCGGATGCGGTCGAGGACCAGGTCGATGATCTCCTTCCCGATGGTGTAGTGCCCACGGGCGTAGTTGTTGGCCGCATCCTCCTTGCCCGTGATCAGCTGCTCGGGGTGGAAGAGCTGCCGGTACGTCCCCGTGCGCACCTCGTCTGCGGGGACAGAGAGCCCATTAGCACCCAGCAGCCCATTAACACCACCCCGACCCCCCCCCCACATTCGGGCTGGATGCCGTGCTCCAGGCAGTACAGCTCCCAGCAGGCGTTGCCGATCTGCACGCCCGCTTGGCCCACATGGATGGAGATGCACTCGCGCTGCGGGGGCAGGACATGTCACCGTGGCACCCCCAGGATCCCCCCTTTGTCTGCGTGTGTCCCCCCAGCTGCAGCACCCCCCCCGGGATGGGCTGGCACTGAGCTGGGAAGGGACAGTCCCCGGGGCAGGATGGAGCCAGCTCATCCCAGGGGCCGAATCCTTCCTGGATGCACCCGATTGTTCTGATTCCTGGAAGGTACTGAGTGCTGCGGGGGGGGTGTGCTCAGCTCCAGGGGTCCCATGCTCCCCCCCCTCCCCCCCACGAAGGGACCAGGGACCCTGCCCACGGTGGGATGGGGAGCTCAGTAGCCCTGGCCCAAGGGACTGTGACCACCCCCAAGGTTGCCTCAGGGGTCCCATCCTGCCCTATCCCCCCGGTGAGACGCAGCAACACCCTGCTGGGGGTGCTCAGCATCAGGGGCTCATCCTGGCCCCCCCCCCGTCCCTGCTGAGTGAGGGCAACGCCCAGTGCGGGACTGGGGGGGCCTCATCCTGCCCTCCTTGTCCTCCCATACGGGGTGGGGTGCTCAGCACCGGGGGACCCCATCCTGGCCTGCGTGTCCCACTGCACCCCCGCCACCCCCCCCCCA